TGGCGCCAGGGACGAAAAGATATTCGAAGAGCGGTAGAATAGCCAAGCCAGTATAAATGGTGGCTCCCTTCTAATCGAACCTTCCTTCTTGCTTTGTTTCAGCTAAGCTATGCAGACACTCACCCGATGTTCACCAGCGACAGCTTTCCCAATTTCTTCAGGGTGGTACCTTCCGAGAATGCATTTAATGCGCCACGAGTCGCCCTCCTGATGCATTTCAATTGGACCAGAGTCGGCACAATCTATCAGAATGAGCCACGATATGCACTGGTGAGTCATCATCCGCGACTGGGATAACTTTTAACTCAGCATTAGCTTCGCTTGCGAGTAGGTCAGTCCGATCGACTCTGATTTCAGCACCATCTCAATAAAAAATCCATTGGAAGTTACTAATGTAAGATAGTTGAGTGGCCCGAGGCTCAGATGATGCAAGAGGATGCTGGCCTCCGAAGAGGATAGATCCGACAATAAGATTGATAGAGGAATTTGAAATGTACTATCATTTACTCGACGATCTGTTAGGTTAGAGTGGAGACGCGAGAGAGGAATAAAAGGCTACCGCAAGAACTTATTCAGGACGTAAAATCAATCTCCAAGCTTATCACTAATTTTAATATTGCAATTTGGATTCTTCTGACCTAAGCGCAGCTGCGAATTACGGCCACGGAAGCCACGGAAGCCACGGAGATTCCATCCCGTAGCTGCTCCTTCTTATGCGACCATCGAATTTATTGCATCTCGTGTGGTACTCGTGTTCCTTCCCTCGGATGTCTGCTGGCACACTCGACAGGATTAGTTTTTCCCCTGAGCATTCAATCCAAGTCGGATTTTACTTTTACTTCCTTTCCCTTAGGAGGCCGACTAGTTTGACCAATCAGACAGCATCCATGCTATTCACGGGTCCATATATGCATGGGTGCATGCGTCAGCGTGTAAATGGAGAACAACGCATACGTCTATCGTTACGTAAGCAAATAAAGCGAATAAAGCGAATAAAGCGAATCCAAAGAAGGAGTCAAGGCGTCTCGTCAAAATGTTCACGTACTCCCAAACGATCAATAGAAATTTTAAGATTCTTCGAGGAGATTGAGGAAGTTTCTGGTACAGGTACAGCTACCGCAGCCTCCTGTATCGCGAGAACGGCCAGGGAAAGCGGAGCTTGAGATCGATCTCGAAAAAGACAAGCTATATATCTTGGCAATGTACCCCGTCGATACCAACCAGTCCTCCGCTCTAGTAGACCAAACAAGTCAAACGTATCGAGATCCTCGCTTAGGTGAAAACTAATAAAAGTTTCCCTTACGACGAAGGCGAGGCAAAGAAATAGCCCCTTGGACGAGGAGTAAATAGATTTTTGCAGGGAGGCTGTCTCTTTGAAGTTTTCCACCGTGATGTTTGTGCACCGGGTGTGAATGAATGATGTCCCCTGCTCGTCCTGCTCGTCCTGCTCGTCCTGCTCGTCCTGCTCGCGCAATAGCTTCCTCCTATCTTGGATGCTCAAGCGAGGAAGACAGTCAGGACGAACGAAAGATCGATCGCTGCTTCCTGATAGGATCTGCGGACTGCCCCGAGGAAGATGTTTCTTTTTTTATACTGAGCTATTCTACTTGTCTCTGGCAAAGCGAGAAGCATCAACCAATGGCAACTCAGTTAAGGACAGGAATTTGAGCCTTCACGGGAGAAACATGAATATTCATCTTCTGCTCTCGAAGATGGTCTCTCCTGGTGAATTAGTATTCCCGACTGGATCTCCGCGGCTCGCGAAGCCATTGAAGCTGCCGCAGCTGAGGGCGAAACGAGGACCAATGGGTGGGGCCTTTTCTCTAGGGAGCTGAGGGGTGCAGGATCGCACGACTAGGCCTAACCTAACCTAACCTAACCTAACCTAACTTCTTCGAATTCCGTGGAAGAAGGCGCAACCATCGCTCCCCGTGTTTCGAGACGCCGTTGCTGCAGATTATCGATGAAACGTCCTGAACGAGTTTTTGCAGTAGAATCATTTTGAATTTGAAGAACGCAAAAGGAGAGGATGAAAAGAATATGAGGGGTAACGCAAACAGGGAGGCAGGAGCAGTGCACGTACACCTTACACCTTACACCTTGCATTATGTCGTTGTGCTGTTGTCTTCAGAAAGATTCACTACATTTTAAATTCGGTCATAAATAATCGGTTTTCTTAAAGGAAAGCAAAGGTCAGAGAATTTTGTAATACTTTGACTTGGTTATCTTTTTCACTTTTTCCCGTCGACTCTTTCGAAATGCAAATAAGACCGATGATATAAGCGAAGAGAATCCTGTACAGGTTCTGGCAGTCGGTTGCGAAGGATGCGAAGGATGCGAAGGATGCGAAGGGTACAAGAGGGGCACGGACTCCGCTAGAATATGCGCCGAAATAAAACGCACGGGGCTGAAAGCACTAAATTAAAAGTGTAATAACGAGCACGGCGACTGGCACCCTTTCACCTTCCACTTTCCATCTTCCACCTTCCATCTTCCTCCGTCTTCCTCAAACTCAACCTCCCTTCCCTTCTGCCCTTCTTCTAGGTCCATTTTATAAATGAAGCAGAGTGCCAGAGTAACGTATTTCCTTCGTTCTATCCACGTAGAATTTTACTTTGCCAACGTCTTCAATGTTAATTCCTTTTATAACCTGGGCTTTATTTTTAAACGCTTTCCTCCCTGAGGCCACAATCCAGATCCATACGATGAATAGGAGTTGGATCCGAAATTGATCTAGGTACGAGGTTCCCCTGATAGACCCAAGCTCTTTTCATTATCCGGGGAAGATCATTTGAGTCGGAAGGATCTTTGCGATTCCCCTTTGGTAACCTCGTCCATCCCCTTTATAACGGTTACTGTAGTCGAGAGGTAGTCGCCGCCTGATGTATTTCCAGTCAAGTTATTCGGAAGAACCCTCGCAGTTGACTTCTATAGGTCTATACTGGAGTGTGAAATGTCCTCCAAGTCCCTCCTCAGCCTTATTTACTCATCTTCGTAGAGCACGGCGTGAGAGTGATCGAGTAGAGCGTCTGGATGGGTTGATGATCGCATTCTTGAATATTTGAATGCGCCGTCTGAGGGAGGGAGCCTGCAAATCTAGCGGTTCGTAAACGTCAGACGGCTAGCTTCGTCAGATTGGCTAATCCAGCCGCTCGTTTTCCGGATTAATATAACCGCTTCTAGGTCACGAGACTTTAATTAAACCCGATTATATCTTTGGCAGCTGGTAGGTGCGCGACTATGTTACGTGGCCCTGTTCCAGCTCAATATCTTTTGAACGTAACAGTCGCGCGAGTTCATGACATCCTGCGAAAGTGCTCATCAAATTCTCTTTCTTCCTTGATCCGTAGAATGTACCCAGTTGCATGAAATACTCAAGTAATGAATTATCCGCGATAGGACGTGGGAGAATTTTGCTGGAACGAATTGCAAGGGTCTTCCGGTTGGTCGGCTCCTCCTCCTCTCCTAGCCGTCCTACAGCTTCTAATGCTCACGAGTCTGCAGACCATAATCAGTCAGCCGTACCTAAACCATCTATATTTTCTCGGAAGGCCGTGAAGATCTAGAAAAATATCAATCAGGAACGCGAATGCAGCATCCAGTAAAGAATCTCCACATATCCAGCAGCCGCATCGTCCCCCGTAAGGGGTGCCCTTAGAAGATGACTATTTCTTTTCTTCAAATACAGTTTTGAATGTCGATGGGGGAGACAATATATATATATATATATCCCGAAACAATATGCTTATCTCAATGTCATATCTAGTGCTGTCATTGTCGTTTTGTCGTTTGACAGAAGAGAAATAAAAAAGAGAGAAAAAAGTGCCGATTCGCTACTCCAGATACACGCGAATAAAGTAAAAAATCGGACCGAGAAAAGGTTCATCTGCAATTTATAAGTAACGACTCGTAAATAATTAAGGGAGGAAATGGATGCCGTTGAAAACTTCATTCTGGTCGACTGAAGTTCGGTTGAATGAGAAGTAATTACGGTCACTTCCGGCGGCGAGAGCAGTTTCAGGACTAAATTCGATGGGAACTTGCATCTTGCAGGCGCACAATAGACTGGTGGCCGATCTAGACGACAACAAGATGGAGGTCGTGGAGACGCAGAGCTTTGCGACGGAAGTGACGACAGCCCTAGAGAAGCTCAAGGAGAAGGACGTCCGGATAATACTGGGAAATTTCGACGAGTCCTGGGCTAGGCAAATTTTCTGTAAGGCTTTCAAGTAAGTTAAGTGCGCGTGACGAACCGCCTCCGCCTACCGGAGAGGCTGCGGAAATATTATTTTAAATATTTAAATACGGAAAGGCTTGAATTTTTAAGGGGCCCATTTGGACCAATAAGTAGTCCATTCATTCTTGCTAACTACCATCTAATGAAGGACAATATAACTATTGCAGATTCGGCATGTTTGGAAGGAAGTATCAGTGGGTAATAATGGGGACCTACGGAGAAGAATGGTGGATGCGGCCCGGTGGCGGCTGCGCCCCATCCGAACTGGCCGAAGCTTTGCACGGTGCCATCTTGACTGACCTGCTTCCACTTTCTACGGAGCAGCAGATTACGATTTCTGGGATCGTAAGTTCCACTTTCCTCTCGCTTCGTGCAATGAACAGGCAATGCTAGCTCCCTGACTTACGTGCCTGGATCTGGGCCGCAAACGCGATTAGACGCTGCGCACTCCGCAAGCACTCTCGATATTACATTTTCTACGGGAATTGCCGGGGGGCGGGGGGCGGGGGGTGTTTACGTCAAACAGGCGACACCTGTTCCTTCTCGGTTGACGTGGACGAGATGGCAGATTCTGCGAACACAGGAGTCGCAGAGTTCAGCATCAGTAGCTGGGAACTTCAGAGAGATTAGAGAAGGATCGGAAAACGTCAGAAACAGCCAGAAAGGTTGTTGATCTGAAATTACCAGTGGAGGATTTTCTATTGATTATATTCCATTGCGTGAAAACTCGAAAATGGAGTTTGCACGAGCGGTATTAGGTAACCGCAACAGCCAGAGACACGTGTCGCGTGAGAAGCGCGACCAAGTTCGTTTTATTTGGTTGCGTGTCTCGCATGTGTAACTACAACGCGGAATAGGAACTTGGGAACTTGGGAACTCGGGAACTCGGGAACTCGGGAACTTGGAAAGGCTGCTCGGGCGCTTGTGGGCGCGCACAGGATGTTTTTACGTGTCAGTCGCTTCCTTCGTACGTTGATTCTTGTAGACCGATGTGTAGCCCCCAGCCTCCCCAGTCCGCCCCAGGTATGTGCGTGTCAATCGAAAAGACTGCCAGGGAGAGACAGACACGATTTGGTAAAGGCTGTGATTTTACACTGCTCTATTCGTGTGATGTAATTGCGTGACTCCAAAGAAAGGCGATATCGTGTCCTCCGATAGGGCATTTGTGCCTTGATAATGCAGACAATATAAAGAAGTCATACGACGACTGACATGATTTCTAAAAATAAATTACACAAAGTGCGAATCAGTGCCGTGCTTTTTTTTCAGAATTTTGGGAGTACTCCTCCCACTATTGACTTTAATCTTTGACTCTATTCCTCTAGCGTCTACATGTATGGGAAATTGCTGGGCAAAATAGTCTCAACTAAATTCAGATCGTATCAGTCCTCGTAAACTGAAATCGCAGTTCAAATCAAAATGCGAGAATCAAGCGATCCTATTGCCGCGAAGAAGACCTCACGAATCTCCCTGAATGAATCTGAAGAGTTTAAAGGCAGTTATCAGTCGTCTTTCTGCGCCATCTTTCTTTCAACTTTATATTTAATTGTCTGGGCACCGGCTATCCACAGGCTCGGTATTTGATGCCCTGATACCTCAGTGTCCAAGATAGACCCGTCCTGGAAATCCTGGAAATTCTGGAAATTCTTGAAATCCTGGAAATCCTGTAAATCCTAGAAATCCGGGTGCACCTTTTGACGGGGTGTCGTCACTTTCGGGGTTGGATTTAGTCGCCGCCCTTTTCTCCGAGTAACTTTGATCTCTCCTGGCAGCCTGAGAAGAAACTTCGAGCGGTAGGGGTAGGTGGCCATAAGTATTTTAGAGCCGCCTAATTGGACGGCGGCGAGAGGCCAACCGAAAGAGTCAGAGGATTTGACAAAAGTTAAATTGGGCTATCACGTCGCCATTTCTGATCTCTCGAGGGGACGGTAAACGAAGATCGGTGTTATTCCTGAAACCTTTTCAGCGATTCCACGAAGGACTTCCTGCTGCCTGTGACCCTGAGTGCCTTGGGCAGGCTGGACCAATCCGTAAGAAAGTGTCCCATTGCCAATTATTTTAGCCAGAGGTAGAGTGAGATAAATCAATGGAGACCAATGTAAAAGCATTCATTACTGTTAACAAAAAATCATTGGCAAAATGGTTAATTTTCTTACGGGTCTGCTCGGGTGCTCATGAAATTACAGCATCCCTCGAGGAGGGACGGGAGGAGAGCAAAGCACGGAAAGTGAAGAATAAAAAGAAAAAAGGGAGTCCGCATGGCTGTTGGTCGGCACTTCGAACGAGGGCTAATGCCTTTTCCGTTTCAGACTCCGGACGAGTACAGGATCGAGTACGACTCGAGACGCGGGACCGAGTACTCGAGGTTTCACGGGTACACCTACGACGGGATCTGGGCCGTCGCCCTGGCGATTCAGCACGTCGCGCGAAGGATACGACACTTTCGTCGCAATCAGACTGTCGCCGACTTTAAGTATCGCGACGAGCTGTGGGAGCGACTCTTCTTGGAGGCACTGAGAAACACGAGCTTCGAGGGCGTCACCGTGAGTCTCTTTCGTTTCGATTTTACCAGGTTCCCTCTGGCGAGTCATGGACCAATTCGCGCGCGACGTTGCCTTCGCTATTCAGGATTCCTTCGGACGGCATCCATACGGTCCGTGCGGTCCGTGCAGTCCGTACGGTCCGTGCGGTCCATACCTAGAACCTTTTGATGCTGTGCTACTTCGTAGTAGTAGCTGGCTATACACGTGCCATTCTTTAATGGTTCTCCGTGTAATGAGATTTCTTAAAATTGGCTTTGTCTGCGTGTTGCAGGGTCCCGTAAGATTCTATGACAACGAGAGGAAGGCGTATATCTTATTGAAGCAATTTCAGAGTGAGTAAGCAGCACAGTTGCGTAAAGCAATTCACGCGATTTATCGAGCGCCTGAACTTCCGTAAAGATTTTAATGCGTCTTGCGATTGCGCGTACGTCATACAGTTCATGTCCGGAGGACGCGAAAAATAATATTGATCTGCACCGAGTTTTTCTGTAGCGCATAGTCTACTCATCTGTACTCGAGCACCAAAAGGATCGCGGTCGACCTTCTTTCCTTTGGATTTCACTTTACCTACTTTATTTGTCTTCCTGCTTCGTCTGAGCTTTTCTGCAATTGATTATGCATTTCGAGTTTGCTCTATTTTTCTATGCATGCATATAGAAGATTTTCTTGCATTTCAAATGTCGTTGCTTCTGTATTGTTTTTTGGTTTACGAGATCTAATTACCCCAGATCGAAAAAGTTCATTTCTCTCTCTCTTCTTTTTCTATGTATACTTAATATATCTTTTATTATATATGAACTGTAACGTATCTCTTTTCCTTGACCCGACACCGATAGCAAAACATACGAGAACGAACTATCTTCGAGAACCAACCTGCGTTGCCTTCGGCCGTCCACCCGTCGTTCGTGCATCCGCAAGCCAGGCGGCCGCCAGCCAATCCTTTTTGCCGGAACTGACTAGCCGGTATAAACTGGGAGTTGGGGTGGAACAGGCCCAACTCCACCAAGAACGAGAGCTCTGACGGAACCTATCGGACGAGGCGACAGCTTAACAGGTCCTGTCGATCTCTGGGGTCGCGTGAAATCAGCAAACGCACCTGGATGCACGAACGGGAGCGGACGGTTACGGAAATGCACGGCCGCTCAGGCTGCTAGGTTTGAGATAGAGAGGGTCGCAGTAAGAGTCCGGCAAATAGCGCGAGCGACAGAGAGCGAATCTTAACTATCTATCGAGATCCCTTCACCGATTAATAAATTGGGAGACTCACCGGAGCTGGTGCAGCTAATCCGTGGAGGCCGAGAACTGTACCCCAAGGACACTCTGGTCGACACTACACTAAAGCACAGCACTACACCTTCGGAACACTCACAGGAATTCATAGAATTGCCTGGATATCGCGAGAACAACGCGAAAACTGTACAAATCGAGAACCTGCTATACCGTAGCGAAGCACGGTAAGAAAAACTATCAACAGACAGCACGGGAGCGCGAGCCAGCCCGCGACACCTCGGTCGGTGCCCCGAGACAGATTGCTTTGACAATAGCCAAATGCCAAATCCGCGAACTAATCATTCTGATTGGTCGAGAGCCTTTTAATCGATAACTCTTCTATCTCCTTCGAGTCGTCCCTTTAAACCAAATCGAAAGCGTTCCTTAACGAATCGGTACGTAACTCCTGGAGATCCTACACGGCCGCTTCCCCAGGGCATCGGGCGACAGCTGGGCATCACGTCCTTAACTCGGGGAGGAGGTTCCTCTCCTGGCCTTAACCTTATCAAAACTACCTCCGCCCACCCTACAGCCCTTCGCCCATCTCCAGCGGGGCGCCGGTATCTCACCCGGGCTTCTGCCGGTCCGCGGAGACGTCTCCGTCGGGTCGTCTCCTCTGCCGGGCAATTCGATACGTCGAGACCATCTCCCCACGGCAGATTCGAGTACCTCGACCTTAAGTAAAAAATAAGGAAATCTTACGAGAGGCTTGACATAACTGTACGAATCAACCCGAGAGCGTAGCTTCTGAGCAGGGTGGCGACCCGAAGGGAACCAGAAATCGAGAACGTTATCTGTATCGGTAACCGGAGCCGCCTTGGGACCGTGATTCGAAAAATCACGTCACAGAACATACATGTACTATGTAGAATAAAGATATTACTATAATGAGGTTAATAATGATATTGGGATGAGTTGAAAAATAAAGATTGAAATGAGAGTGGTCAAGAAGATGATTTTAACGAGAGTTAAAATGTTTCATTGATTGTCCTGATTCTAGATATATCGAGCGTATGTATTTCTCGTGAAAAGAGGAGAACAATGATGCTGCGGTGTTTCACCATCGTCAACATTATCATTCGCTTTAATCGCGCTAATATAGGATTAACGTTGATTGAACGATTACGTAAAAATTGTGCTCCAACCAAAATTCACGTAGTCGAATGACAGCATGATGAAAATAATTGAAAAACGGTCATAAGATACGAAAAATTATTCAAGTTTCACTTAAATTCTGTCTCTGTGTTAAAGCGAGAAAGGTTTTCGCCTAATCTCGATTCAGTGACTATGAACCACACTCTGCCTTTCACCCGCGAGAACTGATTCTCCTAAGTAGGTTGTTCGATTCGCCTTGGTATACATGAGAGAGAGAGAGAGAGAGAGAGAGAGAGAGAGAGAGAGAGAGAGAGAGAGAGAACAAAAATGAGCAACTAGAAACGAAGAAGGGTCCAAGAACAAACGATCGGTTACAGATGGCAACGAAGTGAAAGTTGGGGAGTACAATGGGGTGACGGGGAATCTGGACCTGAGCCGCGGTCAGCCTCTCGTGTGGCGTGGGAGATCACCGCCAAAGGACAGGACGCTACACATAATCGAGCACTCGATGGTGAACATCACGATTTACGCGGCGCTTGCATCAGCGGCGAGTCTCGGTATCGTCATGGCAGCCATCTTCCTTGCCATAAATATCAAATACAGGAATCAGAGGTAATTTCCGGTCGAGGGAAGTATGCCCGCTGGCACGTCCCATTCCTAGCTGATCTCGCGAGGCACTCGCTGAGGGACAGCAGCTACAAGGCACCTGCTAATATTCTAGGTACATAAAAATGTCATCGCCCCACCTGAACAACCTCATTATCGTCGGGTGCATGCTGACTTACAGCAGCGTCATCTTTCTCGGCCTGGACTCCCAGTTGTCGAGCGTCACCGCCTTCCCCTACATCTGCACAGCAAGAGCCTGGCTCCTAATGGCCGGTTTCTCTTTGGCCTTCGGCTCGATGTTCTCGAAAACATGGCGAGTGCACTCCATCTTCACCGACGTCAAACTCAACAAGAAGGTCAGTTACTCGGGCAACGCGATGCTTCGACGTCACGTCACGTCACGCACTCCACGTATGCGTAGATACCATACGCGACTTTGACGCACGTCTCTCTTGTACTCGCGTTCAGGTAATCAAGGATTATCAGCTGTTCATGGTCGTGGGCGTACTCCTAGTCATCGATCTGGCAATCATGACCACTTGGCAGGTGGCCGATCCCTTTTACCGCGAAACCAAGCAAATGGAGCCATACGTGAGTCCTCGCTATATCTCGAAATAATCTTGACTGCGTCCTCCTCCCACGTGCAGGCGCCAGGCCCTAGGCTCGAGAGTCAAAGGCCGCGAGCATTGAACTCCTTCTCGTTTCCGGGTTACAGCCTCACCCTTCCAGCGAGGACATCATCATCATACCGGAGAACGAATACTGTCAGAGCAACAGGATGACCGTCTACTTGGGAAGCATATACGCTTACAAAGGTCTCCTCATGGTGGGTCTTGCGGCTCTCCTGCTCCGCCTTTTCTTTCGGCATTCTCTTAGTTTCCTCTCCCTATTCTCCGTTAAAGATTTTCGGTGCTTTCTTGGCCTGGGAAACGCGGCACGTCAGTATACCGGCACTGAACGACAGTAAATACGTCGGCATGAGCGTCTACAACGTCGTGATAATGTGCGTAACCGGAGCGGCCATAAGTTTTGTCTTGGCCGACAAGCAGGACGCCATGTTCATCATGCTGGCGGTTTTTATCATATTCTGCAGCACAGCCACTTTGTGCCTCGTCTTCGTGCCGAAGGTAGTACACTCAGATCAAGTCCTAATATCGAGCCATACAGAGGCATGCGTGTACAATGTCATACCTATAGTATACTTATGGCTGTGTTGGGACGCACGTCGAGATGCCTCGAGGACGTTCTTTCACAAGCTTTCTAGATTTCTAGAAGCAGCGTTCATTATACGAGAGACACTTCGCATTACAGCTCATAGAATTACGTAGGAATCCTCAGGGCGCGATAGACAAGAGGATCAGGGCGACACTGAGGCCCATGTCGAAGACCCGTAGGGATTCATCCGTCAGCGAATTGGAGGAACGATTGAAAGAGGCCACTGCAGCCAATCAAAAGTTTCGCAAGCAATTATTGGAGAAAGAATCGGAGCTGCAGGTCTGTCGATATTTATTCCTACTTTTAGTATTCGCCTTGCCAGAATAACCAAATAATTCATTTTATTCATTAAGCCGCCTACACACGAAAACCAACAACGTTTTAACATTTCAAATAATTATATTCAATATCATACAGTACAAATCTCTCCTGTAGCAACTTTGATTTTCCATTTTTTTATTTAGATGTACTTGAGAAGACTGGAGAGCGACAGTGTGGCTGACACGCAGGAGACCATGGACAGATTGGCAGTTCCGCGGCAGGAGTCAATTATCAAAAGAGAAGGTCAATTTCAAAATTGTAACTTACTAAGTTTAAGCGAATCTTGCGAGATGAATTTCACTGTAACGCTGATAGCGCCACGATGAAATTTCTGGCTCTCAGGACTTTTGTGTCGCCCATCGATAACTTTTACTAGTTTGAAGGCGCGATTTCAAAGAAAAACCTTTTTTTCCATTCTTTAAACGAAACGCAAAAGAGTCTCATCCCCTAACCCGCTCAAGTAATTCATCTTGTAAAATAAGAAAAGCTGTAACAAGCAGTGCTTCTCATTTACATGTTAGAGCCCACTGTCCAGCGGCATGGCACGCAGAACCACAAAGGTTAGTCACTAGCACCAGCGCAAACCGGTGAAAGGTCCTAGAACAGAGTTACTGCTCGTCGTTATTGCATGATGGTCAATAAATAAGCCAGATTATTGCCAGAATATCTTCCTTCGTAAAAACCTGTGGCAAAAGTGGAGTTAGCCCAGTTCAAACGCTTTCATTTTCAGTATCATTATTATTTATCAGTAGATTTAGTCAAACTCAAGTACGTAGTACGTACAGACGATCGTCGTCTGGATCCTTTGAACCAGCAGAACCCATTCAGTCGAAAAACAGATCGAATTCCTCGCTAGCTAGAAAATGTGTCCCAGTAAAGTAGAAAGTTGCACCGACAATGCTCCCGAATGAATTCGAGAGTCATATGCGTCGATTTTCATAAGGAAAATTTAAAACGAAAAATCAGTGAGTCGTCGCCATGACAATTCCGTCCGGACGAAGACTAGATAAAAGGATTCGATCGATCCCAAGTGAATCGATCCCAAAAAATTCGATTCTCTAATAGTAATGGCTGAACGATCCGGTTTTATTACGAATGCTCAGAGCGGTTCGTAGCAGCTTCGGAGATTTGAGCAGCTGCATTTTATTCCTTTTTTCTTTCGAGAAGCGAATTCAAGAAGGAATACAATTTAATCGCACCGCCTGGTCCTTGCCCTAGCACGCGCCACGTACCAACACCCATCCTCAAAGCAGCGACGTCCTCTAGGGTATCCGAGCCGTCGGCAAAGCACAACTCGTCGTAGGCGTATTGTAGTCGTAATTCGTAATTCGTAATTCGTAATTCGTAATTCGTAATTCGTAATTCGTAATTCGTAAAAGAAGCTTGCCTCTCGCGATGCCTGAGACTTTGCCAAGGACTAGAAATTCTTAGCCAGACGAACATTGCCTGGTTACCGTGATCTGCCTGAAGCATCGAGGACATTCTGTTTCAGGGCCGTCGCTCACTACAGAAACCACGGACATCTCCATGTCCATGTGTAGCTTAAACTCCACGACGACCTCTCAACCGGAATTAGACTACGTGAATCTGAGTGCGGCAGACAACCACGCGACGAAGTACGTAAACCGTAGAAAATTGATAACTCAAATAGCAAAAGTCTTAACCTCTTGCACCGTAGGCGTCACGTCGATACGCCGTAGAACTCTCAGGCAGAACAGCCATAATATTGAAAACACAAGGCAATGTGCCCTGGTGCCCTGGTCTACGCTTGCCTAATCCAATGCTAAACGTAGCCAGGATCGCCCGACTGCCGGGATCATCCATCAAACCTAAGGCAGTGGAACCGTCACGTTTTCAGGAAGAAGACGTCATTCTCAAAGATGCCGGCCGTCGCCATCGAAAGCGAGCGCGTCCCCCTGGTACAGGCGGGAGCGACCCTGGCCAACAATAAATCGTCAAACCTCGCGTCGGCCCTTAAGCATACGGGGGACAGTGCTCCGCGCAGGAAGAGCCGTTCGGTGGATGGAAAGGAGTGCGAACCTCTGATAGCAAAGAGTCCCGAGCCGAAGCTTATGGGCCAGACGAACGTGGAGTTCGTGCCGGAGGCCGTCGAGGAGTCGGAGTCTATCGTCCTCGAGGAAACGGAGATACCCAGAGACGCAAAGAGTCAGAGAGCGAACGACGTCCTGGAGCATCGGTCCAGATTGCCCACTCCGCCCCCTCCCAAGAACGTCTCCTTCGGGGAACCTCAGGAGCAGAGTTACTTCGAGCAAACGATACTACCGCCACCTGTCCAGTTCGTCCCGAAGCACCGTCACGCGGGTGAGTCGTCGCAGTTGACGCTACTTTTCCGAATCTTCAGTTCCTTTACGCACAGCTCCTTCCAACCTGACGCTTCTGCCCTGAATCTGCAGGGCAGATAGGGCAGAGTTCAAGAGCTGCTCTCCTCCCTGTATTCGACACTACACGTATACCAGCCCAATGGTAGACGCACCAACTGCACAGTCCTCTCTTTAAGGGTCGTTATCTCTCCCATCTAGGATCCACCAGTGTGTCCGGGCATCAGAGCTCCCTGAGACGAAGATCCTCCGTCAAGAACAACGGCGTAGCCCACTCGCACCAGGAACTCCTCGAGAAGCGTCGCACCAGTGTTCCAGTGAACTCGATAAGCTACATCTCGACGGAGAACGTCAGAGCCGGCGCCATTGACGAATCCGTCGGTTCCCTCGACAGGGCTTACGTGATCGGGGAGTGCGGCCACCGCAGAGCCTTCGCTCAACCCAGCACGGGATACAGGTGCGAGAAGCACGGCGGCGGCAGAGGTCACAGCCACACGATGCTCAACGGCGGCTCCAACGAGACTCCGACGCCGCGGAGACTCCGGAACCACTACGAGGCGCACAACGCAAGCTCGCCCAGTGTTCCGGCGACGGTCAACGCCAGCTTCTCGGATACAGGTCAGTCCTTATCAATTGATCGTCGGTTGAGATTGAGCTCAAGCTCAAGGTCCTCGCCAATCTCTCTCTCTCTTGAGAGGATTCGCTGGATAAGAAGCGTAATCGCGCGACGTCTCTGTTCACAGAAAAGTACGAGGAGTCAATGTCGACGATCATCCAGCGTTCGGTGTCGGAAAAATCGCGAGAAAAGTGTCAGCGCGGACGCGCGACTTTGGGACACGCGGCGGCCGAGTGTCCGCACCGGCGGACGGCGGCGCGGCGTTTGCGCGAGTGCAGGCACACGGAGTCGAAGTTACGGCAGCAGGCGCGACTGGACTACGTGCAGAGCTCGCCGAACGTTGCAACGATACACAACAGCAAATTCGCGAGCGCAAATCCACGTGGCGGCGGCGGCGGCGGCGGCGGCGCCGGGATCGGCGTCATTGCCGGGAGCGGAGGCGCCGGAGGTGTCGGTAGTGTCGGTGCGTCTATCGGGATCGTCGGTGGCTCGACGGCGAACGTCTCCAAAATGTACAGTGCTGTGTCGGACGGTGAACTGCTGGACCTCGCGATCCTGCCGATCTTTCAGAAGCTGCTTAGCGAAAGGCACAAAGGCACGACCCGCGGCGGTTACGGGGCGAGCATAGCCAGCTGCCCGAATATATCAGTAAAGTGCGACATAGTCGAGTATCTTTAACGATCCGGTTGCGAGTTTATTATTTACCGACTGATTCACCGTCTTGGGATTGCACGTGCTCTTGGTCGTTCTCTCCTTACTCTCGCGAATGATACTTCGAGTCGAACCTCAAGATTCGACGTTCAATAGCCAAGAATCGAAACAATTCCTTCGACTCTTAACCATCGAGTCTCGCGCTTCAAACAGAATGGAAATGAGCTGTGCAACTGAAAGACTTGCGGTTCAAAAGAAAGAAAAAGAGAGAGAGAGAGAGAGAGAGAGAGAGAGAGAGAGAGAGAGAGAGAGAGAGAGAGAGAGAGCGCGCGCAGAAAGTAGGAAATCTGGCACGTTCGCCCATATTGACCTCACGAAAGATGCATATAACTTACCCGATGTAACGGGAAGAAACGTAGCATCTCAGCTAGTCCCTTCTGTCCTCTAAATTTGGTCCTTTTCTCTGAAGTTCCACCGGCATCCAGTAGGTGGCAGAATGTCCCGTCAGTGACTGAATCGAAAACAAGCGTGAATCTACATCTTGGTGCGCAGGCAGACTTTCCACTTATGTCGCTGACTCCCAATGACACACGCGGAATATCGAGAGACACCTTGGATGTCACGATCGATCCCAATAAGCGATGGTTTTATTACGTTCACATTTTGCAAAATGTTGTCCTTGCCGTCCGCTCGTCCAGTTCCACATCCATCCAGGAAAGCTGAGCCATTCTGACGAAAGTCTTTCCATGGTTGGTCCTCGCGTATTACCGGAAGTCGCTGCGCAAATTCCTCAAGGAATTCCATGAACGGAAGCCAAGGACACGCGGTTCGTATGTCCACTGTTAAATTATATCGTACCTTGTGTTTCGTGCTGTGAAGTCGGCCATTTTCCATTCGAATCTTCATATCGAATAATCTCCGGATCTGCAAAAGTTCCAATGAGTTTCCCTTTTCTTTTTTTTCCGGATCTTTGTGCCGGAAATACAAAAGCCTCGAGTAGCCACCGGAAGGAAGGCGGCTCTCCGGCACAATATAAAATACGGTGACGATTAGGAACTATTTGTCGTACAATCTCTATCGATCACTGTGTACTGCAGTACGTAGTTAGCTAGATAATTAAACGAAAAGTCAGGTTGAAAACAAAGTAATGTCGATTACGCGGCGCGAGGTTGGATGTGAGAATGATTCGCGACTGGAACGATCGAACTCGCCCCAAGATCATCGACTGCGATTTTACATGGAAACTGGGACGGAGTTTTCGAGAATTTTCTAAAATTTGAACGAAGGTGCTGCTGATAGATATTTTCTTCGTTCCACAGGAAGGATCCCGGTAAATATCATTATTATTGTAAAGGACAGGGGCAACTTCGATCTTCCTTAAGCCAGCTCCACACTGTCCGAGCCTGCTTGTGATCTTAGTATAAGAATTCCTCTTTTTTTCCATTTTCATCCGAGGAACAAATGGGGAGAGCGACTCCTCGGTATTGCACGCGTGTCAACGTAGCTGCATTAAGGTATGAAAGTGCATATTTGCGCAGCCTACATCCGCGATCTACTACCACCAACAAATAATCGTAATTTTTCGATTTCGCCGTACAGACTTTTATACACATGTCATCCTCAATAAAGTTCCTCGTAGAACTTAATAATTACGGCTTCAGATTCCCGATGCGGGGCATTGGAGGTTCTACTATGGTTAAGAGAGATGCGAGAAAAGATTAAGGAGAGAGAGAGAGAGAGAGAGAGAGAGAGAGAGAGAGAGAGAGAGAGAGAGAGGAACAAGAGAAAATAAGAAAACTCGGGGAAATTTGTAAGCGATACACATGAGAACGGCCCGAAGGACTGGGTCGAATAGCTGAGGACTTGACGGAGCTGGCGAATTCAAAGTGCGAATGGAAACCGACAGTGAGAGTGTGTGTGTGTGTGTGTGTGTGAATAAAACGAATACGGAATGAACTACGAAAACACGACTGGGCAGAGTATATGTATGTATAGTTAAATAGGGCGAAGCACTAATGATAATGGTCAAATTATGGGAATATAGGAATAAAAAGCTGGTCAAGTGTGAGAGAAGTGAGCAACGATGATTTGCCCGATACGCCAGCATTGTTGAAACATTTAATAGATGTATACAAAAAACGTTTTTAACTATTACCGATCTTTAATAAAAAATTTGGTCTAGCGAGAAGATCCGAGTGAATGTTATGCCATACGTTGCAAGATCGTCGATCTAAAGTTTATAGTTTCGCATTTTGGCGGGTTCTTCGCGTGACGCGGGCCGAACTGCGCGCGACGGACTGATTGAAATTTGGCAAAAGAAAGTTTAAGGCAACCGAGGCGAAAATCGTGTCCTCCGACTGTCAAGTTCTAAATTACAAGAGTTTAATAAAGGATTCTCATTGGAGGGCAGTGCGCGCACGCTTTTGCAAGCTGGCTACGGTGCGTTCATTCAGCATTAACGATCAGCTTATCACCTTATCATCTTACCAGTCTCACGAGTGGGCAACGTTCGTCGAAAGATTCGAGACGGCCGCTGAAAGGCTCTCAGCTACGCGTGGACCGTAATGACGCAGGTTAACGCTGGAACCAGAGGAATGACGCGCACGGTGCCGTCGCTCGTAGTTCGTCCCGCCTCTGTCTCATAGAATTATTATAAATTTCAATATCGTTCACCACGTTCGCCTTCTTCCCCACTATTACTGTTACATCGTAGAAGCAACATATTTCTCGACCTTATCGTAGCATCAGCGTCATGGGCGAATATTCGGACTTGTTTGCTTCACTAACCAATCCATCAGCAAGTTTTCCCATGGAAACATGACCCACTCGGGCGCTCCTCAAATCGCGATCTTTCATTTTTTTGTCTGCCTTGGAAATATTCTAGTAACGGATTTCATGACTTTCTGTCACTCTCTCTCTCTCTCTCTCGACAAATGACAAAATGACGAATCGAAGAAAAGATAGAGAGAGAGATAGAGAGAGAGAGAGA